CGGCGAAGTCAAAGTTTTCAAGTATTGAAGAGGGTACGAGCCCTCCGACGCCGGATTGAAGGACTTCCTTTACCCCTTTTTCAATTTAATTAGCTACCAAGATATGTATCGTAGCTTTTTGCCATGGACCACGCCCCGATACTTGGGCATTTCAAAGAGCATAAGTGGAATATTCCATGCCAGAATTTACACAATTCTTCATACATAGCTGAATTGCTGAATATTTTATCTGCATTACCAATGTACCTAGAATCGCAGTGACAAGAACTGTTAACAATTTTTGGCAATAAGATTTTTCGGTTACAAAATCTTCGGTAACGTGCAGAATAGACCTGTAAGCGTCAAAAAGAAGATACGTGTTTTTGAATTTTCCGATGTCAAGGGCTTTTTAAAATTCTATGTTAACTTTACTGCTAAAGTTTAATTTATACTGCCAATAAGAGTTATTTGTCTTCTCTTAAAGTAATGCCTCTGAGCGTTTTAAGCACTTTTTTGCGGTTCAGCGGTTGAGAGGAGCACACTGCCTGCTTTAGCTGACGGACAGACCCTCCATGTGCATCATCGATTCGGGAGTTAGAATATCTGAGCGTTATTAAGCTCCTTTGAAGACTTTTGATAAGCAGTGAATTTATTTTATTTCCACGCGAAGACGGAAAAAAGGGGAAAGTCCATTAGACTTCGCGTGTTAACGAATAGATTCCGCCATGGAGTTAAGTTGATTTATGTAAATAAGCGCTAGGTGGAACGATCAAGCAGTGGATTAGTCAATAAACCGAGAAAACTGCCTTCATACTTAGATTTGTATATGAAAGTAGCTATAGTACTATGTTACTAGCCACGACTAATATTTAGAGGGACCATCAATAAATATATATGTTAAGTGATGGCCCGAAATTTCGAGTAGTTATACTTGGGGTTATAATATTAATATATAGATATGTATAATATTAGCAATTCTTTGAGGCTTTGAATTTAGTTTTTAAATATTTTTTTTTCTCAGACCTGTTATTATTAACTATAATTATAGCCTTTAGTGTCGAAAGAAAGAATAAAATAATGGTGCGTTTGATTTTAATATCATCACTGACTCTTCGTCAATTGTATTAATTGCGTATTTTGTAGAATTTACTAAAGCAAATGCTGTATATAATTACGGGA